CGTAGTCGCCATGTGCCCATCCCCCATGACTTCTAAACTAGTCTGAAAGACGATTCGGATGTAAATTAATTGATTTCGAATGCCTCGCATTATAGCCTTGGAAGAAGAAAAATAGTGAAGGACCAGCCTACAGTTCTGCGGAGGACCCAAACTTCAGATCGTACCGTTCAGTTTTTTATTTTATTTATTTTCTCGAGACTGAGAGCCTAAAGTATCTGTAGACTGGGGACCAAAATGAAGATTGCTTGTTAGAATTGTGTGCTCTCTTTATTTATAAGGATGGGGACGGTTCAATTTGACGTCAAACCGACCCGATAAAATTAAACTCAACCGTGATTCTGTTTTCGGTTCTTTTTTTAGTTTAGGAACGAGGAGGCCTAAAAATAAAGAGATTATTATTAATTATTATTATATTATAGTTTTTTTAGGTAATTTATTCCTTTGATCTATTTTTTTTCAATCCTTATTAGCAAAGATTTTTGGCAATTGCCCTCCGTAACAAATTGAAAATACTATGGTCTTTAGGTAATTTGCCACCTACAAATAGTAAAGAGAATTTCATCAATTGAATTCCAAAAATAATCATTCAAACCAAAATTTTGTTCCGGGGGCGTTGCTCCCGAAAACCCCCGCAGGGTACTGTCGCACCCTATTTTTGAATACCGCCTGACTAAATGCCTTAAAATAAATTTGTCCCTAAGAAATTTAGGTGGTTCCGCGCCCCTGTAATTATATAATTAATAATATAATATAGTATTATATACAATTTTGATTTTTTTGTAGTCGCTTAAATCAATTTTCTTATTTAGTTCGGCTCATTTTTTATTTATTTACTTATACGTGTTAATACTTTAAATAAGATTTATAAGTGATATGTTATCAGTTAATTATCTTGACCGGGCGCGAATCTCGAGGCAAAATCAAGTCGGAAACTTCAAAAATTAAATTTGGGATCATCTGAACTCCGATATCAGCAAACTTACATGCAAACTGAGCGTCTCAAAAATACGAACCCAATGACACCAAATTCGACTCAATCTGAGCTCAAATGAGTCCAAATCAAGGACCTAAAGTACTGTTAGAAATTAAGTTCCAACCACAATTTGAGTTACCAAACGGTTTTCAAAAAGGACGTGCTTATAGTCGAATCGAGCGGCTAGACGAGACAAATCTAACGAGCCCAAGATCGTCAAATTTTGACATCATTAAGATCTTCAAATATCTGACAAACGTTCCATGATCAAGAGATCCAATATCGGCCGTCCATTCAAACCACTCCCGATTCGCCCCTGATCTCTCACATATTTGCAGGACATGCCACTCCAAAAATCTATAAATAGACCTCTCATTTCTCTTGTGAGGGGGGCTCAAGCAAGAAGAGAAGAAGAAGAAGAAGAGAAGTATAGGAGGAAAGAAACTCCTCCTCGACCACCGCCGCTGGAATTATGCCCGACATTCAAGGGGATTTGTAACTGATGACAAAGAGTTGTGAAATCATTTCAACTTGGTCGAATACTATGGTTTTTCTCTTATTTTTTCTCATAAAAATTTGTGTCTCTCCCTTTAATCTTTGGAAGTGTTGAGTTTTCATTAAAATGTTAAGATATTAAACTCTCTATCTCACTTTATCATTGTAAATATTTTACAATGCAGTAATATATAAAAGGTTTTATAATATCAATTTTAATTTTGACGTATTAATAAGGGATCATTAATTGGCACTGGTATAGGAAAATCAAATAAAAAAATCATATATATTGATATGTCATCAAAAAATTATCTTGATCGAGCATAAATCTCGAGGCAAAAATCAAGTTGGAAACTTTAAAAATTAAATATGGGATCATCTGAACTCCGATTTCAACAAACTTACAGTCGAACTAATCATCTCGAAAATACAAACCCGATGACACCAAATTCAACTCGATCCGAACCCAAATGGGTCCAAATCGAAAACCCGAAGCACATTCGGAAGGTTCAATCCATAATTTGGATTACAAACAGTTTCCAAATATGACATGTTTATAATCGAATCGAGCGCTCGACGAGATGAATCCAACGAGCCCAAGATCACCGAATTTCGATATCATTAAGACCTTCAAATGTCTGATGAACGATCCACAATCAAGAGATTCAATATTGGCCGTCCATCCATTCCACTCCACCTTTGCCCTTGATCCTCCTCCTATTTACAGGTCATACCACTATCAGAAAACTATAAATAGACCCCTCATTGATCTTAAGAGGTGACCCAAGCAAGAAGGAAGGAAGAGGAGGAGAAGAGAAGAATTGGAAGGAAGAAACTCCTCCTCGACCACTGCCGGAATTCCGCTCGACTTTCAAATGACGCCGGAATTCCATCCGACTTCCAAGTGACACCAAAATTCTGCCTGACTTCCAAGTGATGCCAAAATTCCGCACGACCTTCAAGTGATGTTGAAGTTCCACCTGAACTCCAAGTGACGCCGGAATTCCGCCCGACCTCCATGTGACGCCAGAATTCAGCTTGACCTCCAAGTGACGCCAGAGTTCTATCTGATTTCCAAGTGACTCTGGAATTTTGCCATAATACCATATATCCAACGCCGGAGTTCTCCCCGGCCGCTAACTGCCGTCGGACTTCTACCCAACGCCGGAAGTCCACTCATCGCTAAGTTTCTACTCGACGCCGGACTTCTGCATGGTGTCAGACTTTTGCCGGATATATATCTGATGCTAGATTTCTGTCCGTTGATGGATTTCTACCTGACGCCATCATTCTGGCCTTCGTCGCCAGCCAACTATGGTCCTTCTAACTTACGTCGCTCGTCAACTACAGTACTTTCGACCTCCGTCGTCTGCCGACTACGATCCTTCTGACTTATGTTGCCCACCGACTGCAGTCCTTCTGACCTCTGTCGCTCGTCGACTACGATCTTTCCGAATTATGTTGTCCACTACTGACTATGGTCTTTCAGACCAAACAAACACATCAACAATGATGTTATCTATTCTTACCATGTAATGTACTCTATAAGATGTACATCAAGTTAAGGCCTTCCCCTGAGGAAGGACCTCCTATGTAATCAATTACAATAATACTGGATTCATTCATACAAGGCCAGGCCCTATGATTTTTTCCTCTTTTCGGGGGTTTTCCATGTAAAAATCTTGGTGTCTTATAAATGTTACACATGCCCTCTCTCTTATCTAATTGCGTGCTGGATTTTCGTACAAAGCTAAGGCGTTAAACTTTATATTTCTCTACTGCCGCGAATACTCCATGACGCATCAATAAGTGTGATTATTTTGTCCGCTTAATCATGATCTGGCTGGGTAAGTAAGCCTACAGGCGGTGCGAGGAGGAGAATATATTAACCTTTTTAGTTATTGAGGTATTTATGAATTTTTCATCAAATTTAAGTGACTGTTAAATGTATTATAAAATAATTCTAAGGTATTTGAAATCATTTTTATTTAGTTTTTATTAAAAAAAATCAAATTATAATTTTCGGTGCTTGAATTGTTGTGCCTTCTTACATCGAAGTCAGTCTCTTGTACCACAAGCAAAACATTATTGAAATTCTTTTAACTGGGTGTGGCCCCGTGGTTTTCCCCCTCCAGGGTTTTCCACGTAAAAATCATAGTGTTCTTTCATCTTGTGTTTGTGCACTGAATATTTGCACAATGCTGAGACGAAAATTTTCTAATTCTATCGCCGGGTATATTCTAGTCCGCAACAATATTATTTTGATTTTTTTGTGGTGGTTTAAATCAATTTTCTTATTTAGTTCGGCTCATTTTTTATTTATTTACTTATACGTGTTAATACTTAAAATAAGATTTATAAGTGTGATTGTTTTGTCCTCCTAATCATGATCTGGCTGGGTAAGTAAGCCTACCAAGGAACCCCAGGCGGTGCGAGGAGGAGAATATATTAACCATTTTAGTTATTGAGGTATTTATGAATTTTTCATCAAATTTAAGTGACTGTTAAATGTATTATAAAATAATTTTAAGGTATTTGAAATCATTTTTATTTAGTTTTTATTAAAGAAATTCAAATTATAATTTTTGGTGCTTGAATTGTTGTGAAATAAATTAAAATTTTAAAGATTTTTTTTTCCATTATTTTTTTATTTGAATAATGCTTATATTCAAATCATTAAAGATATGTATGCAGGAGAAATTTTAAAGATTTTTTTTTTCATTATTTTTTTATTTAGGGCATAGAACTAAAGTTTGAAGGTCGAGGTTGGGGGTTTCTTGATAATGAAGGTAGATGGAGTTAGGGTGAGGGCGGAATTTGCTTTGTGTGTGTTTCGTACCTGAGGTATCTAAGAGATAGTGTGGGGTGTATTAATGTACATTAAAACTTTAAAAAAATCTAAGCCCAAAGATGCTCGAGGACTAAATTAAAATGAATATTATTCAAATCGATTAATTTTATAAAAATTAACTTCTAATTAGCTAACATGAAGTGAATTATTGGTTTAAGTTATCAATCATCTTCATCGCTCGAACCCAAGGATAAAATTATACTTTTACTATTTTATGTGATTAGATAGTACATTTTATACAAGCTATAGGTGAATATATTTATTTTCATATATTTACAATTTCTTGAAAAATCAATATACTTTATAGGATTTTTTAAATATTTTCATAGTTTCTTACACTGTGCACTGTGGCATATCTCATTTTGGAGAAATTAATGCACTTTGAAAGCCCATACTGAACCCACTAGCAAAAGCCCATACTGTACCAACATCAAGAAAAACATTATATCACCCATACATAAAACATTTCAAAAGTTTCCAACTTAGGATTCATTTGGGACAATTTTTTGCTGCTCTTTAAAATAACTTTTTAATATGAAAATTAAAAAAATGCTTTAAAAAGCAACGAAAAAGTCGTCCCAAAACGAAGTCTTAGACTTCGTTTAAGACGGCATTTTTTTTTTGCTTTCTAAAACGGAATTTTAATAAAAAAAAATTATACTAAAACTCTATTTTAGAAAGAAATAAAAAAGCCATCTCAAGCAAAGCCCTAGCCAACCTAATGCAAACTTTTCAGATAATTTTTTCCTCCCTAACATCAATTGGTTGCCGCATCATCCTTGGCGCAAGCAGCGAGTGCCTTCTCAAACTGCGCCCACCGCTGCTCCACCGACCCACTATACCCCACCGACATCCGCACAAGACCAGGAGAGATTCCGGCGAAATGCTTCTCCTCCTCACTGAGCTTACTCGCCGTGCTGCTTCCAGAGCATGACATTAGGGTTTCGTAGTAGCCGAGAGAGACGGCGATAAGGCCGAACTGAGTGGTGTTCTGCAAATGGTAAAGCAAGCGGTTGGCGCGCTCTTCGTCGCCCATGTCGAGGCAGAGCATGCCGCCGAAGCCGTAGCCGGGATTGGCGAGGGAGCGGAGGAGGTGGTGGTGAGGGTGAGTGGCTAGGCCTGGGTAGATGACTTTGAGGCCCAGCTGCTCCATTCGTGACGCGTAGAGCATTGCACGCGCGCAGTGCTCTTTCATGCGGAGGGCAAGGTGGGGGAGGCGCTCGGATAGTTCGAAGGCTACTTTTGCGTTCATTGTTGGGCCTAGCATCATTAGAATTCCGCCATGGAGGTCCATCATTGAGTTTATGAGAGAAGCTGGCCCGCAGATTGCGCCTGTACGTCAATGCTTAAATTTTGTTTTGTTTGTGGAAAAAAGAAAGAATTTGTTGTTATTAATTTGAACGTTAATGGCAGAGTTAAGTTAGGATGATCATTGACATCGATTAGAGATTTGAGTACAGGCTTAGGATTTAATGATGTTTATGATATTTTAAATTATATTAATTTCAACATAAATATGATAATTGTACTATATTTACCTCAAATATAAGAACTTTAAAATAGATCCTAAGATAGTTTGTATTAAAATAGTATGACAGTGGATCTCTCAAAATAAAATATTTGAAATTATTTCTAATTATCTTATTTTAAAATTTATATATTTATAGGTTTATATATATATATATATATCTTTTGTAATTGATCACCTTTTTTATTTTTTATGTATATATTTGATATATGGTCAAAAATAATCTTGATCGAGCTCAAATTTTGATGCATATTTGACTTCAAAATTTTTAAAATTAAAATTGGGATAATCTGAACTCTACCTAAACTCTGATTTCAACGAACTTATAGTCAAACTGAACGTCTCAACTAAATGAACCCAACAACATCAAAATTGGTCAAATACGAGCCCAAATAGGCCCAAATCACTAGCTATAAGCATATTTGAAAGCTTTAGAATATTAATTGGGTGACTAAATGATATTCAAATATAGCATGTTTATAGTCGAATCAAGTGGTTCGACGAGACAAATCAAATGATCCCAAGATAAATTAATTTCAACATCAATAAGGTACTAGCCAAACAAATACTCTATGATTGAGGGAATCAATATGTGTCATGTGTTGTAAAACTTTAAATTTTTCTTGGACCTTCTATATATTTACAAAGCATGCTACTCTCAAATCTATAAATAAACTCTCTCCACATGAAGGGAACCTTTGGAGGAGGGGACCTTGGATTGGATATTCAAGAGACCACTAAGGCATAAATTTTGAAGTACCACCGTCGGCGTACCCTAACTACTCAGTTGACCATAGTCAGGTGTCCATCCAATCGTAACTGTCACCGCACCTCAGTCCGACTACAGTTGATGGAGCTACGTCCAACCATCCCCATCGGAAACAGTCCATCAACCACCAGCGGGTCTCTGTTGCATGTCGACTAAGATCCTTCCTACAATAATTGGTTGACTAACAATCCTTTAACCTCAGTCTCCCAACTATGGTCATTATGACCTCTGTTTCCTGTCGACTGTGATCCTTACGTGATCCTTCTTATCTTTGTCATTAGTCGACAACAGTCCTTTGAACTTAGTCACCCAATTATAATCCTTATGACCTTCATCACCCATTGACTAGGTCCCTCCGACCACTATCGCATAAAGATCCCTCCAATATACATCGCCTGACTAAGGTCCCTTAGACCACAATCTCCAGCCAACTACGACCCCTTTGACCTCAGTCACCAGACTACAATCCCACCGACCACCATCAATTGACTACAGTCCCTCCGACCTTTATAATCTGATAACGATCCCTTCGACTTCAGTTGCCCAATTATGATACTTCTGACATCTTTCACCCACTGACTACAGTCCTTCCGACCTCAATTGCTTGCCTACTGAGTTCCCTTCAAACTTTGTCTCTCGACAATGATCCATTCAACCTCAGTAACCCAACTACAATCATTTTGACTTATATTACTGACCATTATGATCTTTTTTACCTCCATTTCCTCTTGATAATAGCTCAGTTGACCTTCATCACCCGATAATGGTTCCCTTAACCTTGGTCACTTGATTATAGTTCATTCAACCTTTGTCGCATAACTACGATCCCTCCGACTATAGTCACCCTCCGATTACAGTCTCTGCGACCATCATTTATTGATTGCAGTCCCTCCAACCTCTACTACCTAACAATGGTTCCTTCGACCTATATCATCCAACAATGGTACATATGACCTCTACCACAATGTGTGATCCCTACAACCTCTATTGCCCGATTACGATCCCTCCGACTTCTATCTCCTAACTAAGATTTTATCAATCGATCCAACATAAATATTCTATTGAGAACATCTACCATGTCATTAGATTCTTTCAACTCCAATCATGTAATTTACTTTATATGATGTATATTTACTACATTGAGCCAACGCCTTCCTCGAGGAAGGACATCATTTATAATCAATGATAAATACTATTTAACTCATTTTAACTAAGTTGACCCCATGATTTTTTTATTTCCTCGATTTTCCATATAAAAAATTGGGTCCCTTATGATTGTTGCACTCTCTCTCTTATTTATATGTGTGATGATGATTTCTCATTCAAAATTAAGATGTTAAGCTCTTTATCTCTCTACCTCCCCAAATATTTTTGTATGCAACAAGTTTGAATTTATATTTCTGATCAATATGTAAGAATAAATCTAAATTAAGCATTTTTTTACTTATGTTTAAATTAAAAATAAAATAAAATAACCTTAACTAATTAAAAAAAAAAAGCTTTGACTATTTTCCTAAGATTTATGTTATTTTTTAACAAACTTGATATATCATAAAAAAATTATCTTGATCGAGCACAAATCTCAAGGCAAATTTGTATTGGAAACTTCTAAAATTAAATTTGGGGCCATCGTAATTTCGATTTTAGCAAACTTATGCTCGAATTGAACGCTTCAAAAATACATACCCAATGACATCTAATTCGACCCAATCCAAGCCCCAAATGGGTCCAAATCAATGACCCGAGGAGTATTGGAAAAGTTTAAACCATTAATTAGACGACCAAATGATTTTCAAATGTGACATGCTTAGTCGAATCAAGCATCTCAACGAGACAAATCCAACGAGCCTAACATTGCAAAATTCTGGCATCATTAATACACTAAAATACTTGATAAAAAGTCCATAATTAAGGGAGATGATATCGGCCATCCATTTGAAACACTCTCAACATGCCCTTGATATTCTCCTTATTTTTACTGGCTTTGTCGCTACTATAAAACTATAAGAAACCCCCCCCCCCCAATTCTTCACTAAAGGGGGATCAAGCATAGAAGAGAATGGAAGAGAAGAGGGAGAAGGAAGAGAAATCTGATCTATCTTGCCACCAAGCTCCTCCTTAACCACCGACCATCGTCAGACTTTCGTTGGACTTTTACCTGACTATCAACTATCGTCAGACTTTCTCCTAGCCACTAATTATTGTCGAACTTATGCGCGTCCACCAACCGTCCCCAAACTACATTTCTTTCGACCATCGTCACCTGACGAATAAGGGTCTCTCCAACCACCATCTAGAAACTACGGTCTTTCCGACCTTCATCGATCACAGACTACGGTCTTTTCGACTTTCATCGCATGACTTCAGTCATTCCAACCACCATCACTTGACTAAGGTCTTTTAGAGCATTGTCACTTGACTACGATATTTCTGACCTCAATTACCCGCCAACTATAGTCCTTCCGATCACTGTAACCAAACTATGGTCTTTCCAACCTCCCGACTACGGTATTTCCGACCTCTATCGCCTACCAATTTCTGTCCTTCCAACCACCGTCACCCAACTACAGTCTTTGCAACATTTGTCGCCCGCTGACTATGGTCATCTCGTCTACAATCATTCGACTACGGTCTTTTCGACCGCCGTCGTCCGCCAATTATGATCCTTCCAACTTCTATATATCTCCAAAATACGGTTTTTTCGACCTCCATTGTTTGACTATGATTCTTCGTCATCGTCTAACTATGATCCTTTCAACCTACATTACTCGTCGACTATGGTCATGTCGACCAAACAAATATGTCAACAATAATTCTTTCAACTCCCACCATATAATACACTCTATATGATATATATTTGCTACATGAACCAAGGCCTTCCCCCAGGAAAAAGGCCTCATTAATTTGTAATCAACTGCGAATACTAGTGGATTTAATCAATAGTTTTTCCACATTTTTAGGGGTTTTCACATAAAAACTCTGGTGTCTATTGTGAACGCTACACCTCCTATCCTTGTTTGTGTACTGGATATATGTGTAAAGCTAGAACCCTAAAAGAGATATCTCTCTTTTGCCGCGAATATTCCAGGAGGCAACAAAACTTATCAATACTTAATCAATTTTATATTGCTTCAATAATAATTTTCAATTAACTGCATAAATTTGATTATCGAATAAGAATATTAAAAAATTAACCTAAAATATAGCCTTTTAAGATAACTTTCTCATTGAAATATATAAAGAATTTTTAATAGGACTATTTCTGTTGCGGGCTGTCTTGTATGTTTCACATGTAACATCCACGTGAAAAACTCCTTCACTCTAGCTCAAGAGAAAGAAATTTATTTTCAAAATTTTTAATCATTATTTACCTTTAGAAAAAAGTTTTTTTTTTTTTTTTTTTGATGAATCATGTGACTTGAATTCATATTTTTGTATGCAAGGCCTATGAAGGCTATGCTCTTTATGGTCCAACTTTGCATCAAAATTGATAACAATGAGTTTTATTAATATTTTGTGATAAAAAGAAAAAAACTATATCAGAAATTTAAAATTTTCATTACTTTTTTTTTTGAATAAAAATGAGTATTATTATTATTTTGTAACCTAGAATAGTTATTTTATAATTTTTTAGTCAAGAGAGATGCATAAATTAGCAAAGCTAACAAAAAATTGATCCAACATATAAGATTCTTATATTGACACCAAAAATCATCTTAATTAGGCATGATCTAGGCACATTTGAATTAAAAAACTTTCAAAAGTAAATTCATATATAATCATTTGAACTATAATTATAACAAACTTAAAATCAAATTGCACGAGCTCAAATCAAAGGTTTAAAATATATTTGAAAGATTTATAGCATTAATTGAATGACCAAATGACATATGAATATAGCAATCATATAATTAAAGCAAGCGACTCGACAAGAAAAATTCAACGAGACCAAGATAACTTAATTCTTATATCATTAAGGCACTTAAATGCTGAATAAATGCTCTATGATTGAGGGAATTCATACGATGAAGCATT